CGCCGCTGCGCTTCCCAAGCGGCGCACTATCCAGTGCGCCACCGGGCCGGCCCCAGAATCTTGTTTTGTATGCTGTGGAAAAGATTCTTAAATCAAGTTGGGAGCTGGAAAAAATGAGTTGTAAGGTTTTAAGGCTCTATGATTCTACTTATTTCAATAAAACATAGAGTGTCTATTTATGATCTCCCCTATAAGCTGTTGAGAAATGCATTCTACTGGGTATTTTGATGATCTATTTATCGTTGTCATTGTTGTTTGGCTGTGGATGGGGATGATGGGACAGGTGGGGATGAAAGAAGTATTTAGGTTGAGAGAAAACATCAATGGAACTTGAAACCCAAAGACCACAAGGTAGAATGGTCAGCCTTGGATGAATTTTAATGTCAGGATTTCCCACAAGATTTAATGAGGAGAAGCTACTTTTATTTCATCAAAACCTAGTAATCATCCTGATGGGGTAGACAAGGATGCTTCCAGTTAGGTCCCTGAGGAGAATGGGTAGGGACAATGCTGAATATTTGATTTCCCTCTCCAGTAGAAATTTTGGATAACTGCAGGAAAAGGGGGGTAAGTAAGAAAGAAGTCTGACAACAAGAGCCTCAGAAAATTAACCAGGTAAGACTTTACCAGGTAAGATTTACCAGCTGGCTTTGATCCACCTGTCGGGAAGCCCTATTGTCTGGTATTTAGGGCCCTAAGTGTGCTCTGCTGAAACCCTCCACCAACCTACTTGTTATGAAAATCGTAGATCTCCTGGATGTTGCCAAAGATGATATGCTCTTTATTAAGGATCCCAGGGGGGATCTCCTCCACACCACTGGTCATTTCCCACAGGTAGGTCTGTAAGACAGCAACAGTTTCATCACTGGCAAGTACTGCCACATGAAGTACAGACAAAATAAACAGGCCCTCAAACTTGCGGGGCAGGACTTGACTGGGATTGCAGGCAGGGTTTAAAAAGTGAGGTGTTAAATAAGCACAAGAGAGAAATAAAACTGGAATGTTCCATCATCCTGAACCTTAACAAGAGTACAAACTCCACAGTCATCTTATTATTAAATGTGTGTGGATTTGAGTGTGTCTGTGTGTGGGTGGGAAGGATGCAGATTTTCAGACCCATTTAAGTCCACTGACTGTGTCATGGTTTTTGTTTTGAATTAGAATGACTTTTCTTTTTTTGCTGGGTCTAGTTCCAGTCTGAGAATTTTCAAAAGCACTTTACACTCCCATGCAATTACTGTTGATTCTGGGAGAAAGATTTCCTCTGGTTGGATTTTTTATTCATTACTCTCTGGGAAGAGACAAAGAGCATTGAGCTCCTCTCGAGACTTGACGCTGGCAAGGATGTCACTTTTCTAATACAGCTGTGAACTTATTACTGCAAGACTCACCTCTAAGCACTCATGTAAGTCCCTTACATAAGCCTTTTCTGTCTGAAGTAGCTCAGCCATGATGAATCTAGAAGGAAACAAAGGGGTTTTTAGTTGGCTATAGATATAATGCCTCCCTTCCTTCAAACTCCATTTCCCCACCTCAGAATTTATGACATTCTTGAATGTCCTATTTTTCTACTTTACCAACATATGTCTTTTCCTTTCTTCAAAACTTTTTCCCTTTCCTATTAGTATCTTGTTACAAGTCACTCTCACCCTGATTATTTGCTCTGTATCCCTTTAACAAGTTTGGGCTCAGCTAGTTCCACATTCTCCCTTTTCCACCCAGGTTCTAGCACTCTGTGATTCTGGGCTGATATGCATGTGCTCTCAATTGCATGTGTGTGCACGCACATGTGCACAAGCATGGAAGACCATTCATATTAGATCTCACCAACTAGAGCGCCTGAATTTCAGCTTCCTACATTTCTCTTATAGCTCCCAGAACGATGATTTCTGTTCAGTAGAGTTTGCAGACTTACACCAAAACTGTTCCCAGTACCGTAAATTAAACCAGGTTTCACAGCCAGAAAAAGATGCCCAACACACTACTGAGATCAGGGATTAGCAACTTCTTCTGTAAAGAAATAGTAAATATCTGTTGGCCATTCAGTCTCTGTCACATCCATTCAACTTTGCTGTTGTAGTGTGAAAGGAGCAATAGATAACATATAGAAAAAAATAGTCACTGTGGCTGTGTTCCAATAAAACTATTTATGGACACTAAAATTTGAATTTCATCTGATTTTCATATGTCATGAAATATTATTCTTTTGTTTTTCTCAACAAGTTAAAAATATAAAAAAATAATTTTTAGCTTATAGACTATATAAAACAGTCGGTGGGTAAAATTTGGCCTACATTTGCTGACCTCTGACCTCTATTACCCTCAACTATTTAGACAGTATTTCTAATGGTACTCGTTTACATCAAACTGATGTGCATAAAGTTGAACATGCAATCATAACCACAGCATAAATTAACAATGTTAAGTGATTGTTCTTCATTCCCCCCTAAAGAGAAGTCTGTGCTATACATCTTCAAGGAGAAGGCTCCGTTCCTCCTTGGGACCCTAAATAACAATATACTTGTGCAATTGTTAAACTTATGATGCATGGCTTCATTGTAGTGTATCTACTTCATTTTTTTCTCCATAAATTTTTATTAGAAATGGTGTTTGCTAGCTGACATATACTATTTAATTTAGCACAAATCAGATATGTATACATTTATCTTACATTTTAAATATAAGTTTTTCGTGCAGTTCATAGTAAGAACCCCTATTTCCAGGTATCCTATTACATGAAAATTTTGAGAAATGTTTTCCCCAAAGTGTTCCCTGCTTTAAATTTCACAAGAAATATTAAATAATCAGCATCTTTTCCTAGACCTTTATTTACCTTGCTGGGATTTTCCTTAAAGTAAAACATTGTTCTAGCAGTGCCCTTTCTATTAAAATTAAAGTATTGATTCAAAAATTCTCTTTTGCAAAAGTTAGTTAGCCACTATCTTACTATTCTTACTCTATTGGTAGAGTGGAAAGTATATGAACTTTGGAGTCAGATGAATAGAAATTAAATTATGCCTGTCATTTACTAAAGGTAAGACTTGCTTCTCAAAGCCTCAGACTCCTTACTTATAAAACAGCTGATCACACAGGATTACTGCAAGGATTAAAAAAGATCATGTAAGCAAAGTGGAATGTGCTTGGTAAGCATTCAGTGAATAAAAGATCTGTAGATTGCTATGAAACTAGGAAGATGAGAAGAAACATAAACTGATGGGCTTTGAAAATCTGTCTTTGACTGCTTTGAGTTTTCTCGCATTGTTCTTTTTCTCCCATGTGAAAAGTGGTGAAGAGTCAGTGCTGGTTTAAATTCTGGCTCCATTACTACCTATCTGTGTGGTTTGGGGAAAGCTGCTTAGCTTTTTCTAAGTCTTATTTCTTATAGGTAAAATGGGAATAATCATAGCTATTTAAGAGAAGTGACAGGAAGATAATAAAATAAAACATGTGTAAGGCAGTTTATATAACGTTTAGCACACAAAAACTGTAGGTGGTGGTAGCGGGAAGAGTATTGCTTTAGTAATGATAAAATGCTACCTCAAATAGGTAAACCTGGCATCACCATGCAGATGAACTGGGCAAAGGCTGGCAGAGGAAGGCTAGGGGAAATTTTTGTAAATAATCCAGACTTATGATAATGACAACTATAAACAAAAGTCTAAGTGGATGGGAAAAAAGTGTTAGAGACAAGAGAAACTTTGAAGAAAGGATTGATATAGAAATGAGGTAAGTCAAAGCTTATCTCACAGCTTCAAGGCTGGGAAACTAGGACAGTGACACCACTGATGAGAATTAGGAAATCAGAAAGGAGAACTAAATTTGGAGGAGAATATATGTGGTTTGGTCCATGTTGACTTCTGAGACTGTGAAGTGAAATTTGATGATCCAAGAGAAAGGTTTCCTCTAGGAAGTTACTGATACATGAAGGGAACTCAGGTGAAGGACAGATAGGAAAGACTTAAAAGTCCACAGAGTGAACCCATATTCTCAATGGAAGCATCATGTCTGTCCCTTCCAACCTCTGTAGGTGGTCGTGAGGACATATTAAGCTATCAAAAGGGGTGGGTGGCAGTGAAGACCAAGCAGAGGCATGAGGAAACTGCTAGTGGCAGCGGGAGCTCCCAACACATACTCTTTCTTCCGAGCTGACTTCCGCTTCTCTTCATTGACTTCATGGTTGGCGTCCCGTAGCTTGACTTCACGATCTGAAAGGCTGGCTGGGATGATGTCCAGCTCCAGGTCCTTGTTATCCTACACATAGAGGTATCACAGAGGTCACACTGGGGATGCACTGGGAAAGCAACTCACCCAAGTGGAGGAAGGTGGCAAAAAAGAAAAATAGAGAAAGATAATGAAGAGGCATGAAAAGGTGAGGGATCCTACAAACTCCCACCCACAAGCATTCTTCTGCATAGGGTCTTTTTTTTTTTTAAATAAGAAAGATATAAAATGTTCAGGTCAAGTGTTTAAGTCTAATATCCACAATGAGAAAAAACAATGAACACATCTGATAACTGTGTGTCTATTTCCCTGAGGCCTTCGGTGCTGATTAAATCTAAACACACACACATAAATTAGTCCAAGATTGATTCTTACCCATTAAAACAGATGTGAAACAAATACATAAAGACATTAAAAAACCTTTCATTTGTTAAAGGAAAATAACCAAACCAAATATTTTTATTTAAACAAGCAATTTCTCTTGGAAATAGGAAGCTAAATGACAGAACAATGACAACTTTCTAATTGATAATCCTTGCTTATTTCAACCACCATTTGGTATTCATATATGATAGAACCTCCTAGAAAAAAACCTCACAGACTGAAGCCTGGGGGAGACGTTAACTGCCTCATCTTTTAGAGGTTTGACCATTTCACTCTCTAGGTTGCTCTGCTTCAGAGCATGAGCCTATTTAAAGATTTAAGAATTAGAAATCCTAGGATTAAATTGCCGGGCTGTATTTAGCTCTTAATTCATAGGTTACTGACCCCTATTACAAAGAAGAGATTAAAAGGCAGTCTTCCTGGGCGTCATGGCAAACAGTACCTCATTTCAGTTCAAACGTCAAATAGTCTTTGCACAAACTGCATCCCTTATTCTGGCAAGAGCACTATTATACATACCGGGACTCTAAACATTAGCTGATTAACATAATTGGGTGGAAGATGGTACTGATGAAGACAAAATAAGGGGTTTAGTCCTCAGAGTACACAGAGAAGGACTCTGTGCAGCCCTGGGCCCCACTCCTGGCCAGCCAATTTTGCAATATATGGAGCACTAAACATAGGGAGCTGAAGGATCAGCAAGATCCATTCCCTCCACTATAAAACCACACAAGGCAAGTGCTCTAGGGGTCAACGGCTCAGAGGATTGCTCTGGAAATGCTCTTTTCTTCTGTGGTGATGAGGGGGGGTGCCAAGGAAGGTGGGGAGGAGGGCACCCCAGTGGGCAATACCCTATACCTACCTCTGTGTTGACTCCTAAGGCTTTTTCCAGGGAGTACCGGTACTTCCCCATCCTCAAGGAGAAGTCTCTGTAGTGTTTGTCCACTGTGGTCACCCACTTCCTTATCTCTGTGGCATGAATGTGGCCTTTTTCCACAAAACTATCGGCCAGCTGAATCAGAAGCTTCACCTTCTCCTTTGTTTGCTGCCCAAAAGATGGTCGGAAGTTACTAGATTACATTTGTTCTCATGCCCCTTCACCCAAGTCCCTTTTCCTCTTTACAGCAGCCATAGATACCTATAGCCAGATCACCTGGGTTTATATCCCAGCTGTCACTTACAAGCTGGAAGATCTTGAGCAAATTATCTATACCTTCGGTGCCTCATTTCCTTCATCCGCAAAATAGAGACCATGATAGTACCTACACTGTGGGGCTGCTGGGAGCATTAAATGAGCTGTGACGTCGAATGCTTACAACAGTGCCTGGAACGCAGTAAGCACTCACAGTAACCACAGGAGGAACTCAGTAAGCCATCAGTGTTAGCCGTTATTATTATTCTCGATGGAAAAATCTTTTACATTAATACAGTGCTTTACCAGTTTACAGAGTATGTTAACATTGCACCTCGGATTCATTTGAATCTTAAAATATCCTTAGGAAGTAAGTCAAGGGAGGTGGTATGGGTCTCTTTGAGCCACAGATGAAAAAAACTGAAGCTTAGAGAGGCTTAGGGCTGGCCCATGCTCATACTACCAGTGGCAGCCTGCTTGCTTCTGATCCTTCATTCCCAGTTCTCTCCCTTCACTGTACCAGCCTGAATTCAGCTCTAAACATCACGTAAGTTGGTACATACTAGGATCTAAAGAAACGCAAGTACCAGATTTAAGAGTAAACTCTGTCCCTTTCACCACCAGGATCTTGTCTTTAGTTTCCATTAGAGAGAGAGAGAAAAGGGTTAATGAGGTTGGTGTCTATTATAGGGCTCAGTAAGGTGGGACTCTGACATGTGTATGGGGCTAATTTCACTCCTAGCAAGAGTCTGTTCAACACCTACTCTGTCCATAGCACTATATAGAGGCCTGTAGGGACAGGTTTGGGGGGTAAACCAAACGTAAAAATAGAAGTTCATTTCCCCCAAACAGTCTATAATCTCTAGAGGGGACAAGATTAAATAACTCAAGGCATTATGTAATTGAATGTCAAAATGAGAAGTATGTATAGTTAACACTGCAGAATTTTAAAATGGGAAAAAATGAAGGCGGGCTGACACGGATAGAAAAGGTCTCATGTGGGAGGAGGGACTAAGTTGGGTAAGATATGGAAATGAAAGGGAGATTGAAACAAACACCTGCTACTTGAGTTTGGATTTTCAAACTCTAAAATCTATTAGGGAAGTCTGATAGGTTTTAAGGGAAAGAAAAGAATATTTAAATAGTGTTCTAAGAAACGNTCTAGATTTCTAGTTATCTAGATAAACGGAGGGAAACTGAAGCAGAAAATCACCAGAGCAGCAGTGGAAAAGACAGAAGAGCCTTTGTTTCTTTATTCTGTCATCCTTATACCCTCACCCCACCTTTCTAGGCTCATCTACAGCCCCTCCTAAGAAATGCCAGAGAAATCGGGCTTCAGAGAGGTGAGCAGAGTGTTTGCCTGCCACATGGCCAGAAAGATTAGAGGTCCAGCTCTCAGCAGCTCACTCAACACATCCAAGCCGCTCCTATCTCAGGGCAGTAGGCTGGTGCCCAGAGCAGAAGACAAGGGGCCATAAGAACTTTGGTGTTAAGGAGGTGGGTGTGAGGACAGCAGAAGCATCACCTCAGCCATGAAGAGGCAAAGAGCAACAGCACTGGAAATTGCTTAAGAAAAGATACCCGGTAATCATCCTAAGAATTTATATATGCTTTATAACATGTGGCTTTTTTGCTTTTTGTTTTTTTTCTTTCTGAAAATGGTTTTCTTAGGTTTACTCTCAAATCAGAGATTAATTTTTGCTATCATAAAAAATTCATTAAAAGTTTTAGGAATACATATTCTCCGCTCTTGGTAAGGTGGTTTCACCTATGAGATGGGATCCTGGCCAGCTCATGGCAGCAGCTCTACCAGGGCATCTCTATCAGAGAAAATTATATCCTGAAGCAGCAAAACTGTGATTCAGAGTCAACAGGGAGAATGGTTTGTGACCAAGAGTATTCCAGGTGTGCGTGGAGCCTGGGGAAGCAAATCGACAGTAAAATGAGCAGTGCTGACAAGGCCTTCACCATGTGGCTCATCCACCTTTACAGCAGCCCCATCTCCATGGCTCCCCATGCCCCTAAAATGCAGACATGTTGAATACCCCATGCTCTCCCGCTGTGATAAGTGGCTCCTACTCATCGAACTCTCAATGTAAGGCCCTCTTTCACCTCCTTTCTTCCCACAAGATGAGTGGTGCCCTTCCCAGTGTTCCTACAGTGCCACATGTGTGCCTCTACTTTAGCATGTATCACATACAGCTATTCATGTGTCCCCTTCCTTAGATCACATTCCTAAAAGGTATTATTTCTTATTCATTTGCATGTCTCCAGGGTCTAGAAAACAGTAAGTATACCATAAATGCCGAAGGGATGAATGAGTGCATGAATGAGCAGATCTTTTGTCTGGAAGTGAGAAAAGCCAGACCAGCAAGAGTTGAGGGTTTATATTGGGAAGAATGAGATGATAAATTTTGTCCAAAAACTGGACAAGCCCACTGAGACACCAACCATGGACCTGGTCTCCATTGAGAACAGTCTGAAATGGTTTCTTATATACGGGTGACTGTGGTGGCACCTTGTGACAGGCCACATGCCTGGCCACAGCTGATGAGATCAGAGATAAAAACTTGTCCCACAAGGGCAGCCCATCAATATGTGGCCAGTGACTTCTGAGGTCTCCTGGCCTAAAAGCTCTGTCTAAACAAACAGTAGCAATATGCTGGGTCAATTGAGGTTGCTTTTCTGGGGATTTGAACTGCAGTAACACGGGTCTGTGTGGTCGGTTGCAGAGTAGAAGTGAAAACAGAGGAAGAAGAAAAGGGAAGCTGAATCACAGTAATGGTGGAACACTATAGAGATCCCTGATCCCCTGCTCTGAGGAGATGACCAGCTAATTTGGCTGCTTGAGCTGCTATCAGTCTCAGGTCACATCCCAGGTTTCAAACCCAGAGGTGAGATGATACTGTATTTCTTGTTCTTCCCACAGGGCTGAGTCATTCGGCTTTTTCTGGGTTCCTGTGAGTCCAGCCATATGGCTTTTATCTTCTTTATTTCCATGCATAGCCATATAATATCTTTTCCCTTTCATAACTTCAGCCAGCTTGAAACTCAAATCTTGCCACCAAAGAAAGTAATTTATATAGATTAATAAAGTGGAAGTCAGACTGTAGCAGTTCTTGAATGATAGGTTCACTTTGGACATGATTTTGTGAACAAAAGGGAGACTTTGGGGATAATTCATCTGGGTCTGGAAATCTAGAACTGACCTCTCACTTATTTTGGGCTTCAGCTGTCCCCTAATATGTGCTCTGCTCTTTCCATTTTGAATCCTATGTAATCTGCTGGAAAAGACAGGTTAAAAAAAGAGGGGTTCAATAATTCTATTTTTCTTCCCTCCGTACCTCTTTCTTCCTTCTTCTTCCCCTATCTCTCTCCCCCCATCTTCCTTCATTTTTTTCTTTGCTCAGTTAATATTATACCATCTTGGGCCGGCCCGGTGGCGCACTGGATAGTGCGCCGCTTGGGAAGTGCGGCGGCGCTC